GCAGATGAAAACTATAAACTCTGGATAAAGTACAAAAAACAAGTATCAGAAGGCACTGGAAAGGTACCAAAAGCAGACAGAAACTGGAGGGTAGTTGCCATTTGGAAAAATGAATGGCACTGCTGACCTTCCCATTTCTATAGCTTTTATCCTGAAGGCAAGCCCCTGTCTGTTTCTTGCCAAGGCAGGTAAAACTCAGATGGAGAATCCCAAGTCTTGAAGAACCAGAGCCCAGAAAGATCACATTAGCTGAAAAGCAACAGGTCTGATAATTTCTTATAAAACTAAACGAGTGCATAATTCTCGGCCCAGCAATTCCAACCTTAGATATTTGCCTGAGAGAAGAAAAGATACAGGTCGACAAAACACAGTACAGGAATTCACAGCAGCTTTTTCGTAACAACCATCAGGTGGAAAAAGCTCCCATGTCCCTTACCAGGAGGACGGATAAACCGAGGTATATTCATACAAGCGAATACTTCTGAGCAATTTTTTTAAAAAAGAAGAAAGAAGAAACACCTGCTGACAGATACAGATGAATCTCAAGTTTCACACACAAGAATACATCCTGTATGGTTCTCCTGAATGAATTTTAGGACATTCAAAACGAATCTACAGCAGGGTGAAAATCAGAATGCTGGCAACCTGTTGGCAGCGGGGGTGGTGTTTGCTGGGAAGAGGCGTGAACTTTCTGGGGCGACAGTAATGTTCTGCATCTTGAGAGGAGTCGGGGTTACACAGGTGCGGCACCTGTCAGAACTCATACAGTCTTAGGTCTACATTCAAGACTTTTGCATTTCATTGTTTGTAAATGTCATCTGAAAAAATGCAGTAAATATTGACTCTAGTTAAAGATATGCACGGTGCAGTGTCAAGGGGTGAAGTGTAACTATGTCTGAAACCTTGAAATGTATCAGAAAATAAGCTGGATTTGGTGGATGAACTATACAAGTACAGTAAAATGTTAATTGTAGGATCTAGGTGGAGAATATATGGGATTTCACTGTAGAATGTTCTCAACTTCTCTGTGCATTTGAAAATCTCCTTAATAAAACATTGGAGGAAGAGGAAATATTCTCTCTGCTGTCAAATGCTAAAGCTCCCCATCAGTTATTTATTTCCCAAATGGGGGTTTCTGGAAAGATCCTTGTGGACAAGTACACATGTGCCTGGTCTCCAGCACTCAGACTGCTCAGTTTCTGGCCACACAAAGCCCCTGATGGCCTAGCTGCTCCAGGCCTGGAAAACGCACCATCACCAGTGTCAGGCATACCACCGTCCCCAGGCTGAAAGGAAAGAGGTCATATCTCTTCCCTAATCCTTAACACAATTGTTGGTGAAGTCATTCCGTGACATCTTTTTCTGCCACAGCCAGATCACAGCTCATTAATCTCTATAACCCAAGTGCCGAGTCCAGAACCTCTCCTGACTAGTAACTGAATTGTTGAAGGGACCTGATGGCTGGTTAGCGGGCAGACACTACCCCAACTCCACCTCATCAAAACTCTCTTGGCAGTGCTCACTGAGGCTTAAATCTCTTGCAAAGTAGAAATCAAAACCCCACACATGGAAAGCTTCCCAGACTTTGAATCTGCAAAGCATTTAAAGCAACATATGACAAAATTATCAATGAGGGTCTGAAGCCGACTAGATCTCACTGGGTTTCACTGGGATCTACCAGATGTCATGTTGTCTGCAGACTAAGTCACGGTGATTCTACATTACCATTTAATATATAATAAAAAAGAAAAGAAGCCTGCCTGAGATTTAATGGTGTGTGTGAATTTAATTTGCAATGTGTGTTCTCTAACCTTGAATACAATGCATTTTCTAAACAAGTTATACAGACAAAATCAGATGAAATCTATGCCAAAGCCTCCAAGCACTAATTCTGTGCAAAATAAGTGCCGCTGGAAAGCACTCTATGATAAATTTAATTCCAGAACTAAATTCACAGAGAAGAGCTGCCCATATTATTGATTTGGAAATCATTAGCCTTAAATCATTCATTTAGCTAAATAAATAATGATCAATTTTCTTTAGCTAGTCTCCATAAAAACCTTTCATCAACTTTATTAAAAAATTTCTGGAAAGTCAGATGATGTTGGGAAGTTTAATTTGTATCATGACCTACTTCTGAACCAAAGTTAGGAGTCACATTTTTACAATTTTTAAATTGGGTCATTTAACCGATATGATTCTTTAATTCTGCTGAGTTTCTGACAAGTATTTGGATGCTAAAAAATAGCCAAAGATATCTGTTTCAGACATGTTAGCATTATCAAGAGATACCAAATGTGGTGATCATTTTGTAATGTGTAGAAATGTCAAAACACTATGCTGTATACCAAGAACTAACAGTGTTGTAGGTCAATTATACTTCAAAAACAAGCAGACCAAGTCACAGAAAAAAAGAGATCAGATTTGTGGTTATCAGAGGCAGAGGGGAGGAGGAGGGGGAATCAGATGAAAGTAGTCAAAGGTACAAATTTCCAGTCATAGTGTAAGAAACTGCTAGGAATGCAATGCACAACATGGTTAATGTAATCAACACTGCTGCATGTAACATACGAAAGTAACTCAGAGAGTAAATCCTAAGAGTTCTCATCACAAGGAAAAAATCTTTTTTCGCTTATTTTGTACCTATATGAGATGATGGATGTTCACTAAACTTACTTTCATTATCATTTCATGAGGCATATAAGTCAAACTGTTACACTGTACACCTTAAATTTATACCGCACTGTATGTCAATTTTATTTCAATAAAACTGGAAGAAAAAAGATGTCACGTAGATAAGGTTCATTCAAATCAGAATGCCATTTGACAGATGCAACAAAAGGCATGCTGGGAAGAGTATGGCTACAGTTTGTTGATTGACTCCTTATAAATTTCAAGGGCTAGGAATATCTAAATATATTTTTAAATGAAATATCTTGCATTCTAATGTATCAGATCTATGAAATCTCACTTTATTTGTACCTCCTCTATAATAAAGTTGCCTGCTTATCTGCAAAAAAGATATATCACATGTGATGTTTATGAAAATGCTTCATAAATTATAAACTAACATGTAAATTAAAGTGATGATGATGATTAAAAATCACTTCTCGATTTAAAAAGTTCCATTCTTAACATACACAGGAGGTGCCTGAAATATTCCTCCCATTCAACAATATTGAAAAAAAAAGTTTTAGATATTTTAATGCACTTAGATTCATTCTCTTGGTGGAATATCCAAATCTGTCAGAAAAGACAATTTGAAGAAACATGGGGGCAGAAAGAAAACCCCTGCAGTCCCACTAGAATCTCAGACACACAGACGCTGCTAAGAACAGAACCCGCGTGTCTGGGGCTCGGGTTCAGACTCACCATGAGCATGGTGTCAGTTCCCGCCCCAGTGACTGCGTGTACACTCTGTACTTATCTCATCGCTGTGAGGAGACACGGGTTTCGCATCTCTCGTACAGAAAACTCTGGTAAGCGTGTTGGAAAGATACGGCACTCAAGATATGACCCTCAGGGTGAAAAGACCAGACACAGACATAAAGGATACAGGCGCCTTTCTCCAGGACGCCAGGTGAGAGGCTCAGAAAGCAAGTGTGTCAGAGTTTGAAGACTAAACAGAGGACCATTAAGAAGAATCTATTATCTCAAGTGATACATTCAAAGCTTCTTAACCATGGTTACACATCTGAATGGCCTGACGAACTCTAAGAGAGATTTGATGTATAGGCCTAACTTCAGGGATTCTGAAATAAATGGTCTACGGTGGTCCCAGGCTTCAGTATTTCTTAAAAACGCCCTAAGTGATGCTAACGTGTACCAGGATGCAGCACTATAGCAGCAGGCCTTGAAAACAAGGTGAAGTCATAACTAGATCCCAGATGATCGACAGCAAGGAAGCTAGTGCAGGCCAGGACTGGTCGTTAGGAAGAGGTGCACAGACGGGGCCCCCCACCAGCATTACAGAGCAACGGTCTAGGGGTGGATCACACAGACTGTTGTGCCCATTTTACAGATGAGGAATAATACTCTTTTGCTTGAAATCCCTATTGCTTTCAGCAGAGGGCTCATTTAAAATGTTTAACTTAGCACCCACGGTCCTCCCAGCCTACTGCTGCCTCATTTCTTCACCAGCTGCTCACACATTCTCTTCTCCCCGAGTGTTAGAGTCACTTACAAATCCCTGAAAAATCGTGAATAATGTCTATCTTCTTTGCTTCAGCGAATTTTATTCCTCTACCTAAAATATCTCCCTTCTCCCTCTTAATATCCCCCCTCTTTTCATCTGCTTAACTCAATAACTTAATTCAGTCTTCTTTATTATTCTCCCAGTATGATCTATACACTGTCAAGGAACTAGAACCTTCTTTCCTACCTTCTGTCGCTGGAAATACTTCTTCTCCTTCAGTTTTAGTCTCTGCCAGCTTCCCAGTTCTCAGCAGCACTTCTGCAAAGCTTTCTACTGGGACATGCTGATAGGCGTCACAGGTCACTTGAGACTAGACAAAGAAACAGTTACACCGTGTGGTAGGACGTCTTTTCCTCTATGAAGATATTCTTAGAAAATATAATGATGGGATTTCTATCTTCCGGTAACCTGGATTGTAATTTCTCACTTACCAAAGCATATTATTGCATGTAGAACTATAAACAGCTTTTAGTCTCATTACATACATTGTAACGTATATGAAACAAATCACATAAAACCAATGAATAGCATGAGTAAGAACAAAGAAAAAGTAGTACATTTCCAGGAAAATTTGAGCCTTTGTTTGTAGTAAAATGCCCCCAAGAGCACGAGAGTAACTTACCTGTCCCCAGACACACTGTCCTTACCTCGACAACATAGGGATTGGTGATGACGGATTCATAAAAAGGATGGCAGCCTTGTTTTTCTAGACCTTCATTGGCTATGGTTCCGATTTGATAAGCACCCCCGAATTCTTGCCCCTAAACAGAACAAAGCGGGGAACAGTGGATAAAGAGAAAGAGAGCGGAGAGGGGTGGGGTGGGAGGAAAGGAGGAAGGAAGAAAGAACGCATAGGTATCAGGAGGAACTAATCAATGTGCATTGTGTGATCCAGAGAGTGTCAGAGTGACACGGGTACAGCGGAGGGTGCAGGAATGATCACCACACGCAAGAGCAGCACCTCAACCTCACATGGCAGGGCCTTTCGATTTTCCTGGTCACTTTGACATCACTGAATCAGAATCACTGAAGCAATCCATGTTATACACACGGCAAGTTTTCTATACAACAGTCAGGGTAACCTTTCTGAAGCATCGTTTTGTACACATTGCCGCTCCCTTTCTCAAAAATCCTCCACGTCATTCTCCCTTTCATCCCAGTTAATTTAGTTCTGACATATATACCAAATTTTACCTAAATCTATCAGTGTCTTTCACAAGTACTGCATGATAGAATACTGTACTCTATAAAATACATTACTTATTCCCTAGCTGTTGGGAGGCCTAGATTTCTTCATAGATTGTTTTAATAATCTAAAGAAGATAAAGTTGTAGCAACAGTGAAAAACTGAAGAGCGTGCTAATGAATTGATACAAAAACCACACAGCTGACTTCAAAAAGCAAGCTGCGTTGCTCACCTGAAGGGGTCGAAGGTAAGTCAAAGACTTCTTCCACCACTGCCCGTCGCTGACGGCCTGCAGCACGGCCCTGGTGGTGGTCGTGGTGTTGGAGAGCACTTTCATGGTGGTGGCAGTGGTCCAGTGGAGCAGGTCAGCCGAGTTGCTGCCTGGGACACTGACCTCATCCTATGTTAAAAAAAAAGAAAACAGCAAGAGCAAAAATGTGCATAGTCTCAAAAACAGAGCAAAGAGTGAAGATAAACAGATGTAAAAATCCATCTCTGCCAATCACAAAAAAATGTGAAACAAGACACTACTAGCATATTGTACCTCCTTGAATTATTTACAAAATAAAATTCAGTAAAGGGAAATATATCACAGCATGTTAGTCAAATAATCCCTTTCAGAAATATTTATGAGGCAAATAATGGGTTCTTTCTGTTTTTTACCAATCTAATATCCTCCCATGAGGTACTCGTGCTGTTTCTTTGAGAAGACATTTTAAGTATTTAGTATTTAGACTGATTAAGAAATAAATTACTCATTTGACAAAGGTGAGGTTACTGTAAGGAATATTTGCATCTGAATGCACATATTAAGTTTTAATGTTTTTATTTCTAATTCTTCTCAAGGTGAAAAGGGCCTGAGGTAAGTCAGATAAGCAGAGCGATTCAAAGATTCCGAATCCACCCATCTAACAAAGAAAGGGGATGGGAGCCAAGCTAAGACTCAGTGAAGGACTCAGAGTGAAAAAGCAAAACACTGGGTGGAAAAAGGGGTCTGAAAAGCAGGGTTAGATAAGGGTAAAGGTAAAAATGAGCAAAGTGAGTTGTTGAGGGAGAAGAGAGGACCAGGTTCACAGAGAGCAGTCAGCCAGATCCAGACATCTTATTCACCAAGAGTGATGCGTAGGACTCTTGCCTATAATACGCAAGAGTCATAATGGCCACCGTTTATCAGATCTCTACTCTGCGTCAGGTGCTGAACTAGGTGCTTCGTGTGGTCGTCCCTAAGTTTTAAGGTAACACTGCCAAGCAGGCACGGGGATACCACTTGAGACACAAGTTTAAACTGCAGATCAAACAAGGTGAATATGCCACCCACAGGCAACTGGCTGGGGTGTCTCCTCTGTTCTTGACCCGACCGGGCTCTCAAATGTGTGGCCCACTTGCTCTCTGCAGGGTTTTGATCCACTGGCACTACGTTACACACATGTGAGTATTTATTTAAGTTAATTTATTCTTCTGCATTTGTCTGTTTGTCTTCCCAACCAGAGAGTGGCTTTTCAAGGGCAGGGGCTATGTTTATTCATGACTAAAATGTTCAGGGTATGTGAAAGTCCCTAATGTCTAGTGTGTATCTGTAGATGTGTGTCAGGAGTCTGGTTTTACTGCTCTATTTACATGTTTGAAGAAACATTTTCTAAGCCCTAATATTTTATGCTTAAAGTAGTTAAATGTTATTCAAGTAAGATTTCAGATCACATTTTCAATTCCGGTTCATCTTCAGAATCTTCTTAATTGAGAAGGGTACTGAATGATTTGAATGTTATCAACTAATCCAAGTAGAGAACTAAAAACATAAACATGAAGAGAAATATGGCACTTAAACAGGATAAAACTTCATTCAGAGGAAATTCAAGTCAATTGAAAAATATTTAAAAATATAGGCTACAAAACAATTATTCCATTTCATAAAATAAACTTTACTCTGTTCATATGGGTTGGCTAACTCAAGGTAGAAAATTTTAAACATCTGGAACTGAAAAGTTTGTTCCAGAAGATAAATGAAATTCAGATGATCAGAAATGTACATGAGAAAAGGATTTTCTGTAAGAGATTTCCCCCAATAAGAATCACAAAAGAGAAAGTAAAATAAAGGGCTTATTTGGATCACAGAAGCAGCATTTAATCTGGGGTCCCTCTACCATGATTACAGTGTAACTAGTCATTAACGAGGAAAACACTTTTCTTTCAACTTCATGTAATAGGGAAAGAAAAAGGAGGTTAGGCAAAGTTTACCCCTGAAATGATTATACTGGCAGTTTTTCTATCCATAGTTGCACACTGCTGATTAAAGTATATAACGGCTGAAATAGTTTAATCCCCCAAACTAAGTCAACAACCTCCAGCATAAAATTTAACATGAAATCCCATTAATGTCAAGTGTTACACAGCTCAAAGGTTAACGTACTAAGCACCAATAGTATTTTTCAAACCTTACAACAGACAACATTACCAAACAGGTTCACAAGAACAAGGACATTCCACATGTCAAGCTTGGCTTTTACACAAACAATTCCTGTTGATCAATTACCATAATAAACGATCCACTTATGAGTTGCCTTCTCTGGTGTCTGGTAATATGAGGGTTAATTTCTGAGAAACTTGTTTGCCACCTGTGCCCTGGGCTGGTGGTACCCGCGACCTGGGTACAGATTACAAACAGAACTCAGACTGAGCTTGGTTACTACCCCTTCTCCTCCAAACTACCTGGAAATAATCCAAAGTAATTCCCTGCACCTAGCACTTACGTCCAGCAAATTTCATACTGAATTCAAAATATTAAGCAAATTCCACCCTGAATTAAAAATATGAAGAATGCAACCCTTATTATGGGTGATGCTACTTTTAAAACTATTTGTCAGAAAACGCAGTAGAAAAATACCCTACGGAGTAAATCACTCTAAAGTCTGACTCTGCTTCAGTTCATCTGCTAATTAACCAGGCTACAGTTCAGCTGTGCTCATCTTTGGGCGTCATGGACCCCTGCGTATTTCTGACGATGACTGTAAGTGCTTCCCCCAGGGAACTGCACATGCACCTGCACATGCATGAACACACAAAGTCAGAGACAGACACACAAAAACACACCAAATTTGACACATTCTTTCCAGGGCTTTAGGGACCAGTATTCTTGGATCCAGATTAAGTGATCTGTAGTTAGAAAACAGAAGTATATTCTATTTTCTTTTTCCATGCCCAGTTTTTTAGTCAGCACTTACACAAAGCTAAGGAGGATAAAGGACAAGAAACAGGAAATTGTCTATTTCTGTAGCCATTTCTCCCATTTTATCCCAGGGCAATACTGACATGAATATGCAAAGATGTGTACATAAAAATGCTCAGCGCAGTTCGGTCAAAAATAGAGGAATACTGGGCACAATCCCAAAACAAAGGAAAAGATAAATAAATCATGGTATATGCATCCAACGACCAGTATCACACCATGACACAAACAGTCTGTACGTAATGACAAGAGCAGATGTCCATGACATATATCAGTACTTGAAAAAAGCAAGCTTCAAAATAATATATGCAGTATGAATCCATTTTAGTAAGAACAAAATAACAGTCCTCCAGGAGACAGAGGTGCGCTGTACAGAAAGTCTGTCTACACTCAGAAAAAGTCTGGAAGGATATATATAAACTAAAACGTTTACCTCTGAGCAGTAGGACTCATAGAATGGGGAGAGGAAGGAACTGAGAGAGAAGAAAGAGAACTTACATCTTCATGTATTCTTTTCTTTCATGCATTATTGATTAGTTTCATATTTGAAAAAATCAGAAAGACCAAAGTTACCACAAATAAACATGCACCTCCTACCAGAGTTAACAAATGTGTTAACATCCCTCTTGAGTGTTTCACACTTTCAGAAATGTCACATCTCTCTCTCTTTTTTCACTTTCAAGAAATAAAGCGTGCCAGATTACATTAATTATCTGAACTCTTATCTTCACATAAGTGGATTATTAAAATAAAAATCTGTACTGGATTTGTCATTTAAAAAAAAATAACACATTCCAGTCAAGATGGAGCCATGAACTATGTTTCAATATGTTCACCATGCTCCAAAATCCTGAAAATAAAAGGAAAAAAGGGTCAAAAGACACTCAAGTTTAGAGTTCAACATTTGGAGGCTCAGAGTTCAGATGCTCGCAAGGGCTGCCAGATGCTCCTTTGCAGGTAAGACTATGAATCGAAAAGATTCCCCATAAGGTGGAGAGGCTTCAGCCTGGCTCACTGCCTGGGGCTATCTATTTATATTTATTTATATAAAGTAGTGGGCCTAGGGAGAAAGAGAACAAAAGTCAGAGCCCAAAGGAACTGGGCCAAATCCCTCATTGGTTCCAGGTCTCACGTCCTCACTGGTACAAGCGGGAGGGAGTCCAAAGTGAAAAGTTAATAAAGGATGTGGTTCTGGACTGAAGTACCAAGGGATAAGACTGAAGGAAATCCCAAACTCCAGAATCCTTAAGTAGGGTCTGGGGAAATGAAAATTAAATGAATTGGATGGCTCACAATGAGCTTGCAAACCAAAATTCCAAAACATCTGGGAAAAAGAAATTATTAAGATAATAACTGTAACAAAAACCTACTTCAGATGAAATCATTTTAAACTTCAAAATATTAATTTGTGTCTGTGCATTCTAAATATAAGATTTAAAATCCTTTAAGAAGGAGCAAGATATCACATAAAAGAAAAAAACAAATATAATCCTATTGAGTTAATGTGTGTGTGTGTGATATGAGGTAAAGGTCTAAGTCCATCTTTCTGTATGTGGATATTCTTCAACCCTGTACTTACCTAATATAAAAAGTGGCTCATTATGACTTATTTACCAATAAATATAAAGGCTAAAACTATAGAATTCTTAGGAAAAAGCACAGGAGTAAATCTTCACAACCTTAAATTAGGCCCAGATTTCTCAGATACAATAGCAAAAGCACAAGCAATAAAAGAAAATATTAATAAACTGGACTGTCAAAAACATTAAAGGTTTTTGCACTTCAAAAGTCACCATTAAGAAAGTAAAACGTCAACTCACACGATGAGAAAAAAATATTTTCAAATCATACATCCAGTAACAACTTGTATCCAGAGTTTAAAAACAATAATGACAACAACAACAACAAAACTCTTACAGCTCAAGAAGATGACAAATCATGCAGTTAAAACACAGGGACGGTGAAAAACTCAAAAGCTTCCCACTGAAATCTGAGACAAGACAAGGCTGCCCACTATCACCACTCCTATTCAACACAGTCTTGGAAGTCCTAGCCACAGCAATCAGGCAAGAGAAAGAAATAAAAGGGATCCAAATTGGAAAAGAAGAGGTAAAAGTGCCACTATATGCCGATGACATGTTACTATATATAGAAAACCCCAAAAGGTCCACACAAAA